CACACACACACACACACACACACACACACACACACACACACACACACACACACACACACACACACGGGGTTCAACCTCCTGATGAGTCGGTGAAAGTCCGGCGAAACAGTCCGGCACAGTCATGCTGTTTTTGAGTTTATAGCGAATATGACAACACACACACGCACACGCACACACACACACACGCACACGCACACACACACACACACACGCACGCACAAAAAAAAAAAGAAAGGAAAGAGCTCACGCACACGTCCGCACGTTCGCGGCGAATCCCCCTCTGCTATCACAGATCTGCTCCCCCGCAGTCGGGGGCCGTTTCCGGGGGCCCCATCGCATTCTGATTGCCGGGAACGAGGACTTTCGTTAAAGACGAGTTAAGGACCCCTCAAGAATAGTTCGAAAGTCAGAAGCGAAAATTATGGCGGTCGATGGCCGCAGGAATAGAAGGTGAGGACATGCCAAGGTTAGGAAGCGGAAACGTAACCGGAAGACTTTTTGAGTGCCGTTCATTCCTTGATACTTCTGCGCTTCCGCATGAGAGCATGATACGATTCTCGCGGCAAACGACCACCAGAACTCTAGAATAAGAGTCATTAGACTTTTTTCACATAATTCTTGCGTGGTCCTGTACTCGTCTTCGCTGGCAGTCTTCATGTCCTGCACAAGTTCTTGTTCTTGCCATCGTTCAGTCTATTGCCCGGGACTGTAATTCCAAAAATCTCGCCATTGAGGTATTCTAGCTCCTCCACTCATCTTCAGTTCACAATCGGCCCTGCAATCTTTCTTGTGTAAACCCGACATTTTTAAATCCAGAAGGATACGAAACAGAACAGAGTATAACACAAACAGTACAATCAATCAATCAATCAATCAATCAATCAATCAATCAATCAATCAATCAATCAATCGGTAATCAATCAGAGAATCTACCAATCCATCAAACAATCTGACAGCCACACACACATATTGCCTGGGGGGCCGGGGAAGGGGGGAGGGTGGTGTCGTATATAGCGGACATGACAACATACATAGAGGCGAGAGGAAAGAGCGGGGGTGACCAGCTTTACACCGCCGCTTCGGAACGATATTTCTTTAAATACTAAAAAATAGAGCGGGTTAGAACACCCCCTACGTTCGGTCGCCGACCTATATATCTGTAAACAGTTTGTGACAGCCCCTGGTTTGTTGTCATCTTCTCGCTCTCTGCCGACGGTTTTCCGGGCAGTTCGGTTTGACAATATATATATATATATATATATCTGTTTGTGACGATATATATATATATATATATATATATATCTCGATGAGTCTGAGCCCTGTGGTGCTACTCACTACTGCCGAGTGAATCCTCTCAGAGTAGGTACTAAAATCCAGGCGTCCGGCTTATGAATAGCTGGCGATGTATCTCGCCACCTCGTATTTGAAGATGCGGAGAAGGCTCTCTGCCCTAGACTGCCTAGAGTTAGTTGCAACGCCAGCACCTTGACGATGATACGGTTAACTCGTTGTGTCCTATCAGGGTCTCTCTAGAG